GTAAAAAAGCAGCTGCTTGTCAGCTCAACGATTGGACGCGACAAAAAGTCGTTGAACCATCTGTCCTCACAGGACATGCAATTTCTGTTTACTTCTTAGACCTTTATTAATTTATTTATTATTCAACTCGAGGTTGCATGGGCTATTAATGTGGTACTAGAGGAGCTTGCACCCTTCGCAACAAGATAGCAGTGTTTGCCTGCCGAAATCCATGAGATCTCAAGCACCGAATTCTTGTGGTCTGGACTACAGCAGGTTTGTAGATAGGGTGTGGCGAGTACAGGCATGGTTGCTTCGGCATAATCTTCAGCAGGCAAGAATGCTCGTGCAAAGATGCCGCCTGAGAGCTCATCGTTTACACATACAATAATTGTCGCTACTTGTAACTGTTCTATGGCATTTTTTGTATACGATGCAGACTTGGGTACAAGGTTCCGAAGCTGACTGACAGTTGACTGGCTATCATAGACAATTAGAGTTTTGTGTGTCTCTACATAATTGAGTATTAGTCCACGCCGAATAATCTTAAAGAGATCAAGCAAAATAATGCGTTCCACATGTAAAACCTCCAGACACTCAATTCGACCCAATTCTATGATACATTTGATCTGTCTGCTGCTTGAAACAGGAAACGTCAATTTTCGAGATCCCTCAAAGATGACAACTGTGGAAATACCGTCAATATCATGAAGTGTTATCAGTACATGTGCTGCTGCAAATGCGGATAATGGCGGTACTTCAATTTCCCCATCCTTACCATAACACCGAAGATCATAAGTTGGCGTGGTTGTACGCTCTGGACAGTCAATGGATGGCGATAAAAAGAGGTTGTGCTTATACTTGTTCCTTTGTACCATACTCTGCATCATAGTGGTTGTTGGAATGACGTTGAGCACAAAGATGCTGGCTCGGATGCCATCATATGCTCCAGTACTATAAAGTGATACTGTGTAGTGAATCGTAGTTGCCGTCATTAGTTTTAACGTGAATAGTGATTCTTTATTTTATTTTGGAAGGAAAGTTGTAGAAATATACAAAAAGAGTGTGCGTTTTTGACAACTCTAGATAAAAAAAATCACCAACAAAATACTGGCTTCTTTTTAAGGTTGCTTACACGACAAGAAAAGATGTCTCTGATGGATTTTTTTTTATTTATAATAGTCTTAAAAAGAAATTTCGATTGATACTTTTCCTTACATTAGCCAAATGGCTTTTTTTTTATGCAGCTCAACGATGCTGGTGTAAACAGCTAGTCACATACCGGAAATTGGTGCAACGATCGGCGTTTTCATTGTATATCTGTTACATTGAATTTTTATTTATTCCAAATCCAAAAATAGCTCTCCTCTAATTACTACAACTGCATTACCACTAATAGCAACATGTATGGCATCGATTATATCGACTTCAAGCTCACCACATCGTTTGGAACATTGTTGAGCAATAAAGTATGATTTACCTAACTTTTCTTTCCAGAATGGTGCTAGCACTGTGTGTGCTGAACCTGTTACTGGATCTTCTTCAATACCACACCAAGGTGCAAATACGCGGCTTTTAAAATCCCTGTCGATTCCTTTTGTGGTGACCATAACAAGATCTACTCTTTCGCGTCTGCCTGCTTCAATTACCTGATTGGTAATGTTAGGTACCAATGCAGCAAGCTCTTCTTCAGTGCAACTGACATCTTGTATAACCAGATAGCGTAGAACTGGCGACAATAAAATTTCTGTAGATGTACTGTAGCGACCAAGGACACCTGTCACAATCTCCTTAAAGTTGTCATTGTGCTCGACTGGCTCGGGTTTGTCCATAGGTAGTTTCATAGTCAATTTACCTTTTGAATTTATGGATACGGTAAGCACACCACTGAGGGTGTCAAAATGTAGTGTGTTGTTTTGATTTTGAAGCTCATTAAATAACACATGTGCCGCTGCCAGAGTTGCATGACCACAGAGTTTGGCCTCAACTGTAGGAGTAAACCAACGAAGTGCAAAACGTGATGCCTTTTGAAATTCTTCAGCTCCTTCGCACTGAACAGGTGTGAAAAATGATGTCTCCGCAATGTTCATCTCCGCAGCAAGTGTTTGCATTATGTGATCGGGAATTGAATAAGCTGAAGGAACTGGAACTATGGCTGCCTGGTTACCCTGGAATGGCTTTCTGGCAAAAGCATCTACTGTATATATGCTAAACTGAGGCATTGTCGCTTTTGTTCTCTCTTTTTTTAGGTTATAAGTTTGTGTACAGATTTTAGAAAGAAAGAAAGAAAGATGTGTGACGACTGAGCGGTGCTTAAACTTGTTTCTTTCCTGGCGGATGAGGGTTTAGAGTTTTATGAGTCAGGGCATTGGTGCATACGACCGATGTGACTGAAAATACTATTTCCAAGTGTACAAGGATAACAGCCCGCGCCCTTGTTAATTAGTAGAAAACAAGCTGATGAAAAGCAACACGGTCAAGATGGCTTTTTAGCCAAGTAAAAAAAAGCCCATAAGATTCTTTTGGCACATCGCCGCAATCAATCTCCTCGATGGACATGATAAGCTCTAGGTCGTCCTATATAAATGTGTCAGTACTGAGGACAAGCTGATGTGTCTGCGATTCCTGCTAAAGCCCGCTAAAGATTAAAAGACTGTGTAATGTTTGGAGTTATTTATGACGCCCGAAAGGTAGAATTCTGAGGGCAATATGTTTTTTTTTTGTATAATCCCTAGGTTACATCAAGAGCGAGTCAATTTCGTTTTGTTTAGTTTAACCATAGAGATGTGATATTTATAATAAAATATCTGGCTACGTAGAATGCCAAGTACTTTTGCCAGAGATATTCTAATTTTTGTACCTGAGAATACTTAATAAGTTGCTGTAAGACTGGAACTTTACATATTTCATACTACTAAAATAAAAGACACTGTATTAGTTTATCGATAAATTGGTTTCCTATACATCTTGTAATGGCGACGGCATTACACAAATGGATTAGTCTTATATACGTGCTGAAGCCAACGGTAATTCAGTAATTTGGACGCTAGGCATCAGAACCTGTTCCCTATAAGATCAATTATCTATGTTGGACTTGAAATTTGTACTGAAAATTCTAGTATAATTTTCAGTAGGAAAGCTTGGCGGCCTCGACGGTAATAGTAACGACTCCGATAACAATCTCGACACCTATATTGCTCCATTTCCACCCTCTTCCAAAAGAGTACATAAATAGATTACGGGATTCAGTCTGTAAGTGCAAACACAAGGCACTCGAATAGCATGACAAAGATGTCAACAACTATACCACACAGCCGCCGAGGAAAGAAAATGGAGCCACACAAAATAGAGCACAGCATTAACCAAAAGAAAAAATGTTTAAGAAGTATGTACATTTCATTTCCTCGAGCAGCATAAAGTAATCGAAAAAAAAACCCCACTTACCAATGAGAATAATAACAATCCATTCGAGGAATTCACCGTGCATTCCGTTAAGATGTTGGTTCAGCATATCGAGCAAGTCACTTATGACGCTGACGCGATGATTCATGATCTCTACGCGCTGAGGAATCTCGAGATACTCGCGGATCGCAATATATAATGGCTGTAAAGTGGGCTCGGACCAAAAAATCTCTGGTGTATCTAGAATGTTACTGACCAGATTTACATTGACCCGCATAATAAAGAGCTGACCAATTTTTTTGATCAAACCTTTGCGCGTCATCTCTACAGTTCCAGACTCGGCCATGCGTTGTGGAATATACCGCGTCGCCTCGATAGTTTCGTCAACTAGAGCCTCATAGAGCGAGAGTTTAGTAGCCTGTGCAATGGCATGTGCAATTGCAAGTTTAGCCATATGACTTTTTGTTGTGCGCAGTGAGATAACGTCGTTATATATGCGCGACTGCGCCTTTGAGTTGATATAGAACTCAAGCTCCTCCGTCTCAATATCATCCTCGTCAACTTTTTCTACCTCAAATGGCTCTAATTCTTGTAGAAACTCTTTCTCGTGTTGTTCACTCATTCCCCAGATCACTACCACGCCATAGTCAAATATAAACACCTCGCTCTTGATCGGAACATAAGACTCGAAGAACTCTACGCGACGCGACTCGTCTTCTATCAAATTATCCTCCATGTTAATGGCAATAGCTTCAGAAGGTGCATATACAAATGGCGAGTAGATGCACTCGTCTAACAGTCTCGGTGCTGTGTCATTTTGCCCCTTGCGTGACTGGATCCATTTGAAAAGCTGCGTCATTGTGTACGACGACGCGGTTGCATAAGCAGTGACGCGAGGAAGACTGCCAGGCGGCAGATTCTTAAGCCGGTTTATTTCGTTGCGCAAGTCTTGCGCCCCGCGCATGTGTTCTACTTGATTATAAACTTCAGTCAGTCCGAGGTATTCCTCGACATCAGTTCCAGGACCTTCACCCTCGTCTTCGGGTAGGATTTTTAGCTTCTGAGACGTCTTTGTTGTCCGAAATGCAGGCTTTGCTGGACGCAACGTTGACCGCCCAACGCTCTCAGTGGTCCGGTGCATGCCGCTGGGCGGCACTACAATCTCGCGCCGCATTCGGGGAGGATAGGATCCATCGTGAGCTCCATCGTGAGCAACTAGCAATCTATTTCTACGACCAATTGAATTAGTGTGCTCCATTACTATAAGGGCTGATAATGTTTCGGAAGGGAGGCGTGTAGAGAAGAAAAGTCTAGATCCTGAGCACAACGTCGATCAAAACTCGTTGTATGCTATTTTGTCTGCGTTGGGTGGGTTGTTATCCGTTCCCACGGTCTTTTCGGCAATCGCCAGAGCTGCGCAGCTTCAATGACCCGCAACCACTAGTAATTGTGCTGCAAGCTCAAGACATATAAAAATATCTACCTCGCTTCAACGCTTAGCAATGCTTTCTGACAACCTATGCTTTTTAAGAACAAACACATCTAAAGCGTTATGATATTTCTTTAAAAACCGATTTTCAAGTAAGGGGTTTCAGATTAACTTGGTCTCTCTAAGAGATGGGTCCGTGGTCTAGAGGCATGATTCTACGTTTGGGACGTAGCGACCCGGGTTCGAATCCCGGCGGACCCCCATATTTTTCTATTTTTTTTATAGCAGAAGGAACGAAGCGTATAAAAGTATTTTTTTTTTTTTAGTGATAGCAATTACCATTTGTCCTGGTGGTGGATTTAATAACATATCAGAAGTAACTTAATTTTTTTTTTTTTTTAAAAAAAAAAATAAACGATTCAAAACATTATGAGACCAGCTTTCAAAGGAAGGCAATATGAGCAGCATTCCTACATAAAGTACATTGAGCCATCCAAGCGGTCATGAGTTTTGATAATCTTAGAAACAGTACTAGGGTCACCTGTCTGAGCTGAAGTAGATACACCAGCACCGCCATAGTGACCACTTGATGCGGAGGTAGCTTCTTCAAAGCCGATGCCCATATTAACCAAATGGCAACGCGCCCTGTCAGCAACACGATGGGCATAATAAACAGGTGGTACCAATGAGACTGAGCGTGTACAAATAGCATAAGTATAACAGAGATGATAGGTCAGCTGCTGCATTTCATCCGCAGTGAAGCCAACACCATTCTGCAAAACATAGTAATGAGTTGGACGGGAGGTGCCCTGAATAGCAGCATGAGCAAAGAGATAAAAGTCAAAAAAGTTAGGCATAGTAACTGAAGTATCAATGACAGTTCCAGGTACACAGTTGCCAGTACGATCACCATCTCTACCAATAGGGAAGAATCTCGTGTTATGACGTTTCAACACAGCCAGGAAGGTAATCTCTGGTTTATATCCCTTCTCAATCGAAAGACACGCACGTTGAATAGCAATAAGTTCACGATCACGCACCTGAGAAAACTGAGTCTCACTAACACCATCCCTATAAAACACAATATGCTGAGGTTTAGTCTTTGTGCCTTTGAAGAACAGTTTCAGGTGTCTAACCACAGCATCCTCAAGCCTATCAACAATTTCCTGACGTGAAGGAAGTTGAATCAATGTTGCAGCATAGCGTAATCCCATAAAATCTGTAGATCCAACAACCGAAGCAATTGATGGTTTTGTCTCCCCTGGCGCAGGATGAGTGACATCACAACCAAAAAACAACGTGGGCTTCTTGTGCAGCAATTTCTGCAGGTGCAATTGATCAAGGCATTGGTTAGTACCACCAAGCTTCGCATTGATCTTTAGACACACGTTAGCACAGTACTGTGGATTAGGGCGCTGCATGTGTTTTGATTGCATGCATTGCGTCTGTATACCTAGCGTAGTATAAGCACAGTTTTTAATCGTCTGATAAATATGCGCATCCATGCTTGGGAGAACTACCAACAGAAGCTGCGGCGCGGTATTGGAAGGAAGCTTGATGGCATTACATGCGCGTCTCATCTCGCGAACAATATCGGCATTTGGGTTACCATGGATTATAGGAGGACGATTCTCTATAATATGATAGCCTGTCTGGTTGCACATATCAACCAGTACCTTAACAAAGTTCTGAGCCATGTTAACAGGTACATGTCGCTGATTAGCAAGCACCAGTACAGCCCAATGCTTTAGAGGCATGCCAGGAGTAGTGACACGCTTATTCCTCATATTCCAAGCCCCACCAACGGGTGTCAATGACGACTCGCGAGATCTCTGGTCATATTTAACAACAGGCGGCAATAGTACACGCGACTCGACTTCAGCAAGACGCCTGTTCAAAGAAATTCCAAATGATTTGATCAATGGCGACGCATCAAGATCAAGCATCTGAAGGACCTCAATAATGCGATTCATATTCTCGTGCGGCCTCTGACAGGCAAACTTGACCATATCAGCAGTCTGTCGTTCATCCAGCTTTCCTCTGAAACGTTGGCGTTCTGCAACTGTGCAGAGTTCGATAGGAAAAATAGCACCCCGAGTGCTTAGTATCCCAGGAAGATACGGATGAGAAAGATCAACATTGTAACGACGTCGGTAATATTGTGCAATTGTAATCTTTTTCGCAGAACCTGGCTTACTGGGATCTTCCCATTCAAAGGTTTCCTTGTCGAGTGGTAATTTAGTTAAACACTTCGCCACCAGTCTGCGGTTCCCACGAATCCCACGATGGCCAAGAACCAACTCGAGACCGCGCAGATACGAATCCAGACGACGTATCGATTGAGGCGTGAGCTGATCGCGTAATCTGAAAGGATCACGCACATTAAGCATATCCATCAGAGTCTGCAGCAGTTCGCCAGACACATACATGGCAGTAACAGCTGTGTTGACATTCAGATACAGTCTATCAATGCCGGGACGAACGCTCAACGAAAACCCACGCCAAAGTTCCAAGCCTCCTCCAACCTGTATAGACTGCGCACCAGTAAAAAATGAACGACCAAAGCCCACCATATCCTTGCGTGCAACAGTCCCTATTGCCGTATCCAAAGCGTTCAGTGCTGGCTGAATATCGGCAAACTCCATTCCACTTTCGCCGCGGATAAAACGCGTAATGCTACTAGCATCAATCACCGCTGCCTCGCAAAGTTGAATAACAAGAATGCTCTCGCGTCCATCTTCCTTGTGCTTTACTTCGAGGTTCAGTGTCTCATTCTTTCCACAGACACGCTTGGATGCGTATGCTATCTTACGCCCGTCATAGACTAGAGGAATATTCTTAAGCTTGCTATTGCGGTGGACACGCATACCTTCTTCGAACACTGCGCGTGAAAACTCTGGTCTTGGTGGCTTCTTGAACTCGCCCTTGTCAGGCTTTAGCACAACATCATATTGAAATATCTCGCCCTCCTTGTACTTCTTGAACTCTATATGGTTTGCTATCACTCGCTGTCGCTTGCCAATAGTTCCATAAACAGAAAGCTGCGCGCTCATAATATCACTCTGCTACACTATTTTTTTCTTTGAAAATAAAATAAAAGTGGAAGTAAGTTTGCATGAAACAGTGGGGGATACTACGCCATCTTTTTAAACGCCTGGTCGCTCCATTAACCACAAATATCACTTGTCATGCAGTGTCCCACACTGATGCATCAATCAAGCAAAACACCAATCAAATTCTACACCTTCAACCTGCTTTGTTATTAATTGTTTTAAAGACGACAAAGGTTTCATTGTTCCTAACAAATAAAAGAAACCCTTATAGGGAAGAAAACTTTTACTACTCGGAACCGAACCATTCACACAACCAAGTGAGCTGAGCCAGACCACAAAGGAGAGATGGTAATTTATTAGTTATATTTGTACTCGACTATAACACAGGTGCCAGACAAGTGACATTGCACTAGCAGTATTAGAGAATTCAATGATGAACTTATTTAAATAAAACGGTAAAACAAACCTACCTATTTATACCCAAGACTTGTCCCCTTCTGCTACCTGTACTACCACCGCTCTGGGACTACCGAGATGTTGGCTACCTCTTTACAAATAGTATAAGACATCCATACGGCTATTTACCTCTGCATAATCCATTCACTCCTGAAACATTTAGAGCCGGTTCTTTATCCTTCATTACTTAATAATAATCATGTCACATTAATAATAATTATCTAACAAGCAGCACCACCTCTTGAAATGCCCACCAACACTACGTGCCGACCCATCCTATAAGTACCTCAACCGTAAAGGGTGAGGCATAATGTCTCGGCAGGCATCGCCAAACCACTATTTATTTCATTTCATTTCTTTATTTTTTATTCGATTTATCAAAGAAAAAGGTTCTAGAATTTCAAGAAGGTAGTGCTGTGACGTACAATTTGCTTTTAACACAAAATAATCATTTCCAAGGCTTGTGCCGAAAAATTTGTTTTACGATGATGCAGCCGTAATAAAAAAAAAAAAAAAAGACTAACAGCAGAACATTACAGGTAGAAAATAATAAATCTGCAAAAAATTACGACCACGCCAGGACTCGAACCTGGAATCGCTTGATCCGTAGTCAAGCGCCTTATCCATTGGGCCACGCGGCCAGCTTTCCGGTAATCCGAAAGTACAATTTCTGAAAAACAAATTTAAGACTAGTAGAAACCATTATATTATGTTTATGCGCATTAATTGTTAAGCCTTATAAAACGTCTAAAAAACTAAAATATTCCTAACATGTCCAATGCTATTAAATGCAGTTATTAAAATAACTGCCAAAAGTTTTTTAATTGCTTTCTTGATAGTTGGCGCTAACAGTGTGGAGGTGCCTTTTTGACGCTAAATCTGCTGAAAAGCTTTTATTAAACATTTAGCCAATGATGGACAGGCAAATATCAAGAAAATAAAATTTACTCGCAAATGTGCTACATTATATCCATTATATCGACTTTGAGTGAAGGAGAATAACAATTCCTCCAGCGAGTAGCTTTTAAAAATATTAGTCGTGTACAAATACTATTGGGCCTAGAAAATAAATGAAAAGGGTAGAAAAAAAATCACAGGAATTATTGACGTGGAAATATAGTCAAAAACAACTTGCCCCACTGATGAAAATAACTACGCAAATATATTTTAGCTGCAGAAAAATAATGCATCTTCTGCTTTTTTGAAACAACGGAACTGTTTTCCACTATACTTTTCTTTCAGGCATTTTTAAAAGTTTATGGATATCTGTAGTATAACAACTATATTATTCTGGGATTGGGATTGGGATGACAACGTCTGTGCACGTTATGTTTTTATTGAAATGTTAGCGCCAATGGTAGCGGCTGGGATTATCTGGATAATCTGTGCACCGGCTGTACGTAAAAATGTGACAACTGCGCTCAGTAGAAGGGTTGATAGAAGCGATAGCCGAGTGTGGATGGGGCCTCTGGTTGTTGTTCTAATGTGCGCACAAGTATTTGTACAGGTGCTCGTACTCCGCATCCGGTTTGAGAAAAATAAAGACCAAGCATCAGTGATATCTGCTGCGGCACTGGTGCTTGAATGGGTAATAATAACAGCTTTTGCGTCCCGGCAGTTGTTTGCATACTTTGGCAGTGCGCGACACAACTACTACGGACTTTTCGAACATTGGGTGCTTGGATACTCAGGAGCCAGCCTGTGTGCTGGAATAGCACAAATGTATTTTGCATACTTTGTAAAGTCTCGATG